TCAGGGCAGTTTTGGGACACGGCTTCCCTGCCCGGGACTGTCTGTATTGCAGGGAGACCTGGGACCTGCCCCACACCCACGGGCCAGGGGGCCTGTGTGGAGAGATGCCGAGGAGATGATTCCTGTCCTCCATGGCAAAAGTGCTGCAGTAACGGGTGCGGACACGAGTGTAAGCAACCGGTACCCAGAGGTGAGACCTGGAGCCCTGGGCAAGACCCAGCCCCAGGACAGGCACCTGGCCCCAGGAGCCAGCCGTGACCCCACAGAGGGGTCAGCCCTGCAACCCCAGGCAGAATTTGCCTCCTGCTCACCCCAGCCCCCTGCCCCAGCCCTGAGCCCCTCCTCGAGCTGGCGCCCTAACCCCCCTGCCACACCCAGAACCCCTGACCCAGCCCTGAGACCTTCCTTCCCAGAGCCAACATCCTGCACCCCCACCTGTCCCCCAATCCCTTGCCCAGCCTCTGATTGGAGCCCCACCCACAGTCTGATCCCCTCTGCCCTCGCTCAGAGCCCGCACCGTGTTCCACACCGGAACCCCCACCCCAGCCAGGGGAAAGTGAGGGAGGGTCCCCACCTGTCCCCCAATCAGTTACCCAGCCACTGCTTGGAGCCCCACCCACAGTCTGAACCCCTCTGCCCTCGCTCGGAGCCCGCACCGTGTTCCACACCAGAACCCCCTACCCCAGCCAGGGGAAAGTGAGGGAGGGTGGGGCAGGAAGCGAGGGAGATCAAGCAGGCAGAGGGGGCAGTGGGTGGGGCTTCAAGGAACCCCCACCCCAGCCAGGAGAAAGTGAGGGAGGGTGGGGAAGGACGCGGGGGTGGTTCTGAGCTCTGGGGTGCTGGACGTGCAGTGCAGCCAGGGCCCAGCAGGGCTGAGTGTCCCACGTACGGACGTGTCTGCGCCCCGCGGCTCTGCCCCCACCACACTCCTTCCCAAAGCCTGCGGTGGGGGCGGGATGGAGGAGGTTGGATGGAGGAGGGGCGCAGGTGCTGGGCATCCTCGGCGGAAGCTGGGTAGCCAGGCAGGGCACAGTCAGGGCAGCTTTGGGACACGGCTTCCCTGCCCGGGCCTGTCTGTATTGCAGAGAGACCTGGGACCTGCCCCACACCCACGGGCCAGGGGGCCTGTGTGGAGAGATGCCGAGAAGATGATTCCTGTCCTCCATGGCAAAAGTGCTGCAGTAACGGGTGCGGACACGAGTGTAAGCAACCGGTACCCAGAGGTGAGACCTGGAGCCCTGGGCAAGACCCAGCCCCAGGACAGGCACCTGGCCCCAGGAGCCAGCCGTGACCCCACAGAGGGGTCAGCCCTGCAACCCCAGGCAGAATTTGCCTCCTGCTCACCCCAGCCCCCTGCCCCAGCCCTGAGCCCCTCCTCGAGCTGGCGCCCTAACCCCCCTGCCACACCCAGCAC